CGTTTACAGTGGTAAGTGTCAAGTGTTAACAAGTTTGTGGTAATTATAAGATGTGATAAAACAAATTTACTCTCACAGCGTAGGATACAACGTCTTCTCAACATGATGTTAACCACACGGAAATGTTACTGTTTGTGGGCGGGCAAGTTGGCGACGTAGTACGTGGGCAGACATTATACAAAAATGTGTTACTTCGTGACGTAGAGCCGTAACAGAATAAGATTTGAATTCCTGACGACTCGTTTAGGCGATTGCGAGCTGACTCTTTTTTTTGTTAGACAATAACTTTATTTATGGTGCACTGTCGGCTTCACAGCTTTGCAGATAGTTTATGTTCACATACAGCTACATGACACACTGCATGAAAGGTAATATTCGAAAAGGCATAATAGGGGCACTTTAACAACATTAGATTTTATGTGTCTTCTAAAGATTTGAATCTAACTTGATGTCTAGACAAAAAGAGAGAAGAAAATGTTCAAGCAAAAGTAAATTACAACTTTTCGGTGAAAGTGAATTAAACAATAGTGAAGAAAATGGTGTTTTTCTCCTCACAGATTTCTGGTTGAGCTCTTCATTTAGGGCTTCAAACTCCTTGGTCTTGTCCTCAACCTCCTGACTCTTCTGATCATAGTTAACTGCAAGCTCCTCCAGGGCCTGCAGCACCTCCTTCACCTCCTCTTTAGACGCCTCGTTCTCCATCTGAAGACGGGTGAGCTCCGCCTGCAGGTTGTCATGGTCCCTTCGCGTTGAGACCAGCAGCTACAACACAAAGATTTTTGTGTTGGATCATCAGTGTCAAATTATTGAGGAGAGAGAAGAGGGGAATGTGATGGGAACTCAACACAACATGTAAGGAGCATGTGCACTAGGCCAGAACGTTATTTATTATTTATAGCTTTTAATGGCAAAGGGCAAACCCCAACTCCTGAGTTTTTAGTCTCCAGATAATTCACAGCCAACTAGGAGACAGGACACTGTTCTTATTTATGGGAAATAACGTAAATCTGATGTGTGGTGCGTGTTTAAGTCTCACCTCTTCCTGATCCAACATCTGCTGCTTGAGTTTCTCAGCCAGCTGAGACTGCTGATTTATCTCATCATCCTAAAAGCAGAGAGCAGAGAGAAACAGAATGATTGTAATGAATGAGTCTTGAAACACATCTTTATTTTACAATGGAACTTATTGTTCTGTTATTACCAATTATGCACTTCAAAAGTTAAAAGTCTGGGGTCAGTATGTTTTTTTTTTTTTTTAAAGTCTCCGATACACACCAAGGCTGAATTTATTTGATTAAAAACTACAGTAATATCAATAGAAAAAATCTAAATACTATTCAAAATATACTATTTACTAGGGGTGCTCCGATCAGGATTTTTGAGGCCGATCACCGATCACAGAAAGCAGTATCTGCCGATACGATCACCGATACCGATCTTTTTAAAGCCTTCTTTTTATCATGTAGAATTATTTATAGTGATGATCCAATCAAGATTTGTAGACATTTATTCAGGGCCTGAATTTTATTTTTGAAAATGAATTCCCCTCTTAGGTGACTCTTCTGAGAGGGGATTTTTTTTATTTGAGGGGTGGAGGGGGGCATTTTTTAGACATTTTTCAAAAATATATATTTCTCTCACCTAAATGTTTGATCATGCCATGCATTTTCGTTTCGACAATCGTGCAATTGTTGCACAAAAGCTTACACACAGCACAAGCCTGATTTTGTGAGCTGTATGTGAGGCGGCCTTTTACACCAGGTTCACACATACTCCGTTTGCAGTGCTCATGCAGTCCATGTGCGGTATAGAAGCAGCACAGACTGTGCTTTCACACAGGAGTCTGCTCCTGATCTGTGGCTGTTTACCACAAACACAACATTTATCCATTATTTTGATTTTAAATCCAAACATTGTTACTTAAAAGGCTTTTTCAATATTGTGATTCTTTTTTTACACAGTACAGTAATACAATCTTTCATAGATGTGTTTAAATGCAATAGATATAAGAAACACATTATTCAATGCTTTTTACTTTTGCATTTACTTCTAGATTTATATAT